TGGCTCTTCTTCCACGCCTGGGGGGTTTGGCAGGGAGGTGGCAGGGGTTTGGTGTCCCCAGCCCTCGGGGTAGAACAGGAGCTGCCTGACTGCTGGGGAATGCGGCGTGTTGGCATCCACGTCCCAAAGCAAGGGAGGGGGCCAAGGCAAGCCTCAATTCCAGCTTTTTCCCCCCAGTCCTACCCGCCAGGATCTCTTCTTTCTGTTTGCCTGTTTTCTCCTGCCAACAACCGTTCACCCCATGCTCCCTTCTCCACTTTGCCAGGTTTCCAGAGGACCGAAGCCCCACGGCCACCGGGAGGAAAAGACCTGCACGGTAACTACCAGCTGTCCCCTGGCCCCACGCCGGCAGCACAATGTGGGGCAGCCCCACACAGGGAGCCCATCAGCCCCAAAACAGCGCCCGCCCTGCCGTGAGCCCCAACCAGAGTGCACGGACAGGGGATTGCATTTCTGTTACCACGAGCGGCATTCCGCTTCCCAACCCCGTGTTCATCACGGCGGCAGCTGGGGATGGCTTTGGGAATGTCCCCCCATTGCCCGAGACCTTCCCGAGGCTCCACGCCCGAGGACTCTGCAAAGGGGCGCGATGCACACGCGCTTCCCAGCGGCACAGGGCTGCGTGCAGGAGGGACTGTGCATCCCACATCAGCAGGGAGCCTCTGCAGCTCTAACCTGACAAAGACAAAAACTCACAACCGATTTAAAAAAAAACCAAAAACCACCCCGTTCCCACAAGGTAGAAAGTAATTTTCAGAGCTGTAGAGAGTGGGAACCTTTAAACGCATAAATCTGCTTTATCTCTCTGTAGGTCAGCATAACAGCACTTTTCAGGGAAAACCGAGACAAACCAACCAGGCTGTTATAGACACAGATGCCGTGTGCCCACACGCTGGTTTTGGCTGGCGGGCAGCAGGAGCCGGGCGCCCACATCCCCCTGGGCAGGCTGCACCGGCACCGGGTGGTGGGATGGGGGGTGCCCCACGACCCCTCCCAGGGCAGAGGCTTACATTAACACACCACCCTTAGACCTTCTGCCACCTCCCCAGGGGGCTGGAGCTGGCAGCAAAGGGGCCAGAGCCCCAATTTGGGGAGCCAGCAAGGGAGCAGGGGGTGAATGCAGACCAGCTGGGTCAGGATGCTCTCGGAGCCTCTCGGGCATCCCGCTCCCACCGGCCCTTGCCGAGCAGGCGGCAGAGGGGTGTCCCGCCTGCCATGTGAGGGTCACAGCTAAAGCAGCACGCAACCAGCCCCAGCCTCTGCTCCCCCACGTGCAGCCCGAGGCAGCTGGCTTCTCCTCGTCACCTCTCTCCAGCAGCTCCACAGCACCCTTCCTTCACCTCTCCCAGTGCTCGGGAGGCACACAACAGCGTTTTAGCTTTGTGAGCTCTTTTAAATCCTTTTTCCAGAGAAATATAAATCCCACAAGTAGGAGAATCTCTTTAGAATCACAGACTGGTTTGGGTTGGGAGGGACCTTAGAGATCACCCAGTGCCACCCCCTGCCATGGGCAGGGACACCTCCCACCAGCCCAGGTTGCCCAAAGCCTCATCCAGCCTGGCCTTGAACCCCTCCAGGGATGGGGCATCCACAGCTGCTCTGGGCAACCTGGGCCACTGCCTCACCCCCCTTTGGTCCTGAATGGCTCTGAGAGCACACGACGGCGGGGTGGGGGGGTGCTGCGGGGCTCGGCTCTCCTCTCCCCAGCCCAGCAGGCAGTGGTCCAGGGCAGACATCCCTCCGACACGCCTGTGTGCCGAGCTACAGCTGCATCATTCGGGCAGCTCACTGATGGGAGAGAACAGTGTCAGCTCATTCAGTGGCTGTTAAAAAATAAGTGATCTGATTAATTAGGGTGAGTTATTAACCCTTTGTTCCCATGGAGCAGAACCGGGAGCCCAGAGCCTGCAAAGACACAGCCAGCAGGGCAGGCACACCCGCGTCAGCCTGGCTGCTCCCTGGGCAGCACTTCTCACGTGCTTGGATTCATACAGAATCGTGGCTCCTTACCATGCGAAACCGTTATCGCTTTCAGCAAAACCACTGGAGAAATCCATCTCTTTGGTGGGTTCTTTTCAAAAAGTCATGTTTTTGCCAGGGCTTCCACAGCACAGATGTCCCCCGATACTCCCGCATCGTATCTCGCGCACCCCTGTGTAACATCCCGGGATTGTCCGTGCTGTCACCCAGTGCCAAAGCCGCAGGGCCACCTCCCGCCCCAGCATCGCCCCAGCTATCCCAGACCAGACAGGATGGCTCCTGCTTTCCGTGCAGCTGGCAGGGACCTCGTGTCCTCTGCTCCCTGAACACCCGCTGACAGACATCGCTGCGGGCCGGGCGGGAGCTCTGCCGTGGCCCCTTGCTCAAGCAGCCGGCCAGGAAAAACACCCCCTCCCTGCCCCAGACAATGACAACTCGTTTCTTCCCAGCGTATCCATGGGACAAATCCTCTTTGAAATCCATGCCAGTGGATCTGCAGCAATTTGAGAAGCTGGATGCCTACGCATTAAAAGTAAGTGTTGCTTTTGCCACCGCTCCTCTCCCAGCCCCGCTGCGGGACTCTTCCTTGCGACCCAGCTCCTGGCACTAACACCAGCTTAGTCCGAGCTATCAGGGCAAGTGCATCAAAATGTCCCAAACAAGTGGAAAACCATTTCTCTGCCAACAGAGATCCCGCTCTAGGACAGAAACTATGACCGAAAATACTTCTTGCTTGAAACACGGCTTTGTATTTCTATTTTTAATGAAGCCAGAGTTAGAGCAGCCTCCTGGCAGGCGGGGTCTCACCAGCTTTGGAAGAACAAGTGTGCAGGGAGGAAGGGAGATCTACCGTAGCATCTTCTTCACCACAACCTTGCCATGCTTCCTCCTCACAAACAGGTAAACGTCACCAACAGCGTTGAGGAACTTGTCAAAGCCCTGCTTAAACAAGCCCGGACAGATCTGGAGAAGGTCCGAGCCATCTGGATGTGGATATGCCACCACATAGGTAGGTGGAGACCTTTGGTGGAGAAGTCGAGGCCGTTGCAGTTTACTGGATCTCTGGGGGGTTGGTTCCACGTGGCGGGTGGAAGGAAGGCTTTCTAGGTGTATTCATCCAGAAAATCTTATCTTGCCCTCTACAACTGCCTGAAAGGAGGGTGCAGTGAGGGGGGTGCTGGGCTCTGCTCTAAAGGAACAAGTGATGGGACAAGAGGAAATGGCCTCAAGTTGCACCAGGGGAGGTTTAGGCTGGAGATTAGAAAAAATGTCTTCACTGCAAGAGTGCTCAGGCATTGGAACAGGCTGCCCAGGGCAGTGGTGGAGTCACCATCCCTGGAGGGGTTCCAGAAACGTGTCGATGTGGTGCTTGGGGACATGGGTTAGTGGGTTGGGTGGTGTGGGGTTGACGGTTGGACTTGATGATCCTTGAGGTCTTTTCCAACCTTGATGATTCTGTGATTCTATGATTCTATGAAATACACTCAGAGGTTCTCCCACCATCTCCGTTTTCATACTCCCAGCACTGCCAGGCCCTACAGGCTTTGCACGTAAATTACTTCTTTCCGTATGATGAACCTGTTGCTCCTACCAGACTTATCCAAAGGTGTAACCATACAAGTCCCTAACATCCAAGCAGCCTGAGCATGAAGCCAGGCTGCCAGGCACCAGAGGCTCAGTTGTCACTTTCAGAGCCATCCAACACCACCAGAAGTTTCATCTCCACCACTGCCCTGAGCTGCCATCACTCATTTCCCCTGCCCCTTCCTACCCACTGCCAACCCAGGCAACACTGGTGTTTCAGAAATAACCAGAGATGTGAAGAGGACGAGGAAGGAAGAGGCGGCAGCATTTGCAGCCTCTCCAGTCCAGCTACAGACCGGCAGCATTTGCAGCCTCTCCATCAGAGGGGGCAAAATTCTTCTTTCCACCCCACGCTCCTTGGTGGGGGGAAGCTGGATGTGCAACGTGATTGTATGTTGCATAGCACATGCAAAAATATTTCCTTCCCACTAACTCTTGGGGTGAGAGGGGGAGAACCACAGCTAAACCTTACGCACCCCGATGGGCTCTGGTGCTCAGCTTGCAGTGGAACAGCCCTGCTGATGGAGAGCAGGAGAGCAGCGTGGGGAGCGCTGCCCTGATCCCACGCCTGCTGACACCAGCAGAGCTTTGGTCAGCAGAGTTAGGTCAATCCCAAGCAGCTTTAATCTTGCCCTTAAATATGCAGACTGCTGATTTCACTGCATTTCCTGACACCTAGCATTCCCATGGCTGCTGCCCATTCCCTCTTTATGCTATTAACTCATTGCTGCCTGCCGCTGCCCGGGCCAGATCCTGCTGGGGACGGCCGCTCCGGTTTGAGTCGGTCCATTCGCCTTACACACACTCATGAGAAGCCTCTGATCCCCGACAGGTACACTGTGATGTCCTCACAAGATTTTTATTTCGGTTTTTGCACCGTCATGGCCCTGGTTGTCCTTCCTCCCTGCAGAGCCTGACCCCTGTTTACCTGCATGGGAAACAAAACACAGTGCTAAACCGGCTGACAAAAATGCAATGTGTCCATCCTAGAAGAGCACTGATGACTCTTGGTCCTTCCTCATCCAAACCCCACTTTAGCAAGATCCCTGCTTGCTGGGAATCAGCTCCCTGCTCACCTGGGATGGGCTGTTTCCTCCATGCAGCAGGAGCACTAAAAGAAATTATTTTAGCTGTGATTTCTAGCATAACTACAGAGCCCTGTGCAGCCAGCTAGCTCTCCACACCCCTCAAAGTGCTCTGCAGCTTCGCTGGTGCCCAGGGAACAGCCCCGGTCGAGCAGCCAGCCTTCCCCCGTGAGGAAAGATGAGCGGCCGCAGCATCTCAGCAAAGCACAAAGCGTGCTGCCAGCTTTCTCTCCTCTTCCACAGCATTAAAGGGAGGATGAATCAGCTGATGCAGCATTCCTTAGAGCTTTGTCAGAAAAATATGTTCGGATGTTAATACAGAGGCTAGGGCCACGACAGAGGTTGGTCAGTACTGGGTTAACCTCCCCAGACCAGTTCCTCCAGCTCCGCTGCGGGAACCCCGCTGTGCTGCTTTGCTCCGTCCATTCAAATTAAGATTTCCTATGCTTCGAGGTATTAATACGCCTCGCTTGCAACAAGCCATTTCAGGTATTTCCCAACAAGCTACTTTCCAGGTAATTTTAATACAAATTGCTTGCAAAGAGAGCAGAAAGTTCCCTGTCTGCTTTTGACAGCAACACCACCGCACTCCCTCCAGCGCAGAGCGCTCTGGTTTCTACTGGGAGGCTGTAGTTCCCCCCACACAAGGGCTGCTAACCCAGCAGATTTTTCCTCCCATTTCAGTTCAGTTGCAGAATCCCAGCCCCAGCTGAGAAGAGCGACGAGAGCCAGACCCTGTCCACCCTCGTGCGAGACGCGCCACGGCTCGCTCCTCCTCGCTCGCGCTCACTGAGACGAGGAGCGATGCGAGCGCTGCTCCTGCTGCCCATCCATCCCGCTGCCTCGGGCTTTTGGATGAACTTTGTCTGTGTTCCCTCCCGCAGAATACGACGTAGTGGGCTACCATAACAAAAGCCAGCTGTCGACCAAAGCCAGCGATGTGCTGCAGGCGGGGAAGAGCATTTGTGAGGGATACGCTGAGCTCTTTGAGCGGATGTGCAGGTAAATTAAACTCAGAAGCATTCATTGCCAGGGAGAGTTAATGTTCCCTGCCATCCCGGTGCCTGTCCTGTCTGCCCCTGCATTGACTGATGTGACTTGAAGCAGGACGCAGAACTCTAGCTTTCGAACCATGCTGTGGAGGAACAGCTAGTCCTAGAAAGGTCAATTTTGCTCCCTCCTCCCCCCGCTTCTCGCCCTCCCTCCCAGCATAATTCACTTTGTGCCATCTGCTGAGCTTCGCGTCCCATTAACATAATGGCAGATGAAAACACGGCGCTAATTGGGTTAGAGGAGGCCGCGTGTTCCCTCTGAGTGTTTGCATGGAAAGGGTAAAAGCATGGCAAGATTTGAACAAGAAGGAGCGTTACCTCCAATATGCTGCTGGGCAAGAGGCAGGCAAAGCCCCAGAAGGAGCTTTCCCAAAATCTCCCGTCCACGGCAGCACTGACAGCGGTCAGTCTCAAAGCGCAGCACCACTGCAGCCAGGCTGTAATTCCCATTTTATAGCTACGGCAGCATTGGATGACTAAAATCCATTCTCTCACCTACAAAACTCTGTTGCCTTCCCTGGGGATTAGCTGCACAGAGAAGTGGGATTTCCCCCACCCAGGAGTGGGAGCAGGACTTCACCACCACAAAGCCATTCCGCAGCCAAGGCTCCCCATCCTCGGCAGGGAGCACATTGCGTACAAACGCAGTGCAAATCCCTTCTCCTTCGCCTTTCTCCAACCCCCTAAAGCAAGAAGACGGCTGTTGTGCCAGGGAACCCTCCAGCCCCACGGCAAGGAGCAGCATCTCCCCTCTCCTGGCCGTATGCAAGAGGTTGGCTAGAGGAGCAAGGGCAGGCTGGCAATGGGGGTCCCTGGTAGGTTTGGACCCATGTAGAAGGGTTGTCCAAGAAGAGAAAACTGGACCTGACAATGTGGCCAGGACACCAAACGGGAAGGGGGCTCCTCAGGCTGGAAAGCAAAATGCCCATCCCAAAGAGCGTGGGCTGGCGAGGCAGCTCTCCCAGGGAGCAGCTTCCATTTACACGTTAGCTTTGGAAAAAATTAAAGACCACTTATTAATTGGCACGTGTAAGTAACAACTGGCTTTCCAAAGCATTCAAAAAGATTTGGGAAGGTTCTCACCATGAAATAAACAAAATCTACAGGGAAAAGGGCAGACAGAAAAAAAATTCCGCACCAGGTGCTAATGTGGTGAATACTTCCAAGCAAGAACATCTCCGCGATATCAGATCTTGCTTTCTAAAGAGTAAAATAAAGAAATAGGATGATGAACTACGAATTTATAACAGCATCTTATGGAACAGTTATCAACAGTCAGAAGTGGGGGAAATTTGCATCTGTTCATTAAAAAGCATATGTTTAGTTCATTAAAAACATTAATCTTTCCAAGGATATCTTTTACTATTTACAGGCTCTGTTGATTTATTCCTCCTCTTAATTCCTCAGTTTCAGGTTGATTATTCATTTTGTGACTTGGGAAACCTCCCAGTCACCCAGCCTATTACTTTTATTAAATATTAGGTAAATGTTTAGGTCATTTCCTGAAAAACTGTAACTGAAGACAGCTGTTTCTTGCAAGAGGATCTCATCCCTTTTTCTTGTGCACTGCTCAAGTCTGAGCATAAAGGCAAGAGGCAAAGAGCAATCGCTTTCTATAAAGATATTTCTGAGCCAAGTTTCAGGGGAAAAAGGTCTTCTAAAATGCCTTTTTTTCCTAGTGCTCCTGCCGAGGCAACTTTAACAAACAACCCCATTTGCCAGTCACCCTGAGTCCCCCCCAAAAGGTCCCACTGAATTCAGCAGGTGACACTGATCGAGTCCTGCTTGTCCCAGTGCCAGCAGAGGGAAGAGTTCCTGGTGCGTGTGGCCACTGCTTTGGCAGGCAGGCTTCTTCCCGGGAGCCCAGCCTCCCGTCAGAGGGGACGAGGGGCAGGCGGTGGGGGAAGCTGCCCACAATACACCAGTTTCCAGACATCAGGCATGATGGCGATGAACACAAGCATAGGCTTCTGAACAATATTGTAGCATTGTTTATCAAGAACTGGCGTCCCAGCTGACAACCAGACTCCAGGAGGTAGCGTGGCTGAGTCCATCAGAGAGCGTAAATTCAAGAATTCAACTGAGGGCAAAGGCAGCAGGCCAGATTTGGGGCAAAACTCCCTTCCCAGAGCTGACGATGAAGGCAAAACAACGATTCGCGCTTGGAGGTTTCAGCACAACCTCTGGGAACAGAGCTGGCCGCACTCCCTACAGCGGATCTGAACACTCAGCCGCTCCTTATGCACAATGAGTCTGCAAATCACCCAGGTTTCGCATCCTCCTGCTTTTCCTGCTTTCTGCAGTCAGTAGCTTTCCTTCCTTCCAGGCACAGGACCGTACACCCACCTACAAGTATAAACCATTCTGTCTGCCTCTGCAGAAGCCAGATTTGCTTCTTTTTTAGATTAAATCATCAAAGTCAACCTGAAATCAAAGGCAAGAAGATGCCATTGAATTTCAGTGACACCTGTAGCAAGATCCACTTTATTTCCTGCTCTTTTGGAAGCAGAAGAGCAACTTGGCTTTAACGTCCTCCCCGCTGCACCAAGCCGATGTTGCCAACTGTTTCTTAATTCAGTTCTTTTGGTCTGCCCTGTATGTAGGCCATCTTCTGCCATCGCATTGCCACTTCAAGCATTTCTGGAGATCATCTCCATCTTCTCTCTGCCTGGTTAATTTATCTGTCTGATGTCATTTACACGAGAATGGAGACACAATCGCTCTTTTCACCGAAGGCTTGCTATCTTACAGGAGGTTTTAGCCTGGTTTTTCATCTGTCTGGTATTAGAGCCCACTGTTTGAATGCTCTGACCTTTCTTTTGAGCACTTTGAACACATCCAAGCACAAACTCTTCTTGCTGCTTTGCGAATGTTCGCTGTCAGCGAGAGCACAGAGAGGACAAAGGGCAGAACTCATCCCTTCCTGTTCTCCCTGGATATCCCAGCTGACAAGAATGTCTAGAGAAACCTAGAAGGATTAGATGCCAATCCCCATGAAATTCGCGGGAATTTGGTACTTAGCTCCTGTTAGGCCCCTTTGATACTCCTAGGCTCAGATCTTCCTGGAAGTTGGCGGGCCAGCTCCGAGTCTCAGTTACACCACGTAAATCCAAGCTCTCACCAGCCTCATCAGGGGAGTTGCTCAGCTGTACTGCCCAGCTCCATGTCAGAATTTGGCTCATGAGTGACTGTGGGCTGGCAAAGGCTTTCCAGACCCCCTGCGACACCAGTTTTCCCAATGGCATTCCTTCCAGCCCTTCCACATCCTTCTCAAGCACCTCGTGTGACGGGCAGCGCCCGGCTCTCGCCGCAGAACAGCCCACGCCACGCAAGAGCCGGCTGGCACGCTCCTGGCTCTCCACCGGCCATCCCCAGCTGGGACAGGGCACGGCCGCCCTCCTCCTCTCCATAACTCCATCTTCTCTCTGCAGGCTGGGGAGCTGAAGTGACCAGCTGCCTTTAAACCAGCATCACCTCCGTGAGCACAGCGGTCCTCCCCGTGAGCACTGCTGCACCGCCAGTTACCAGCCAGTACCTGCTACCAGACCTCTGCTCCTTAACAACCATGCTTGCTCTCTTTCCCATAAACACCGCTGTTCTTCTGAGCTACACCCGCGTTGTGCAGACAATCTTGCTCTTGGAGCATGCACAGTTTGTTCCTTAAGGTAGCTGTTCCATTTCACGTGCTTTTCGATGAAGAGGACAAATGTTGATACCATCCTCCACAAAGGACAATCCTCTCGGAGAAGCAATTTTAGATCAATACTGAAATAAGATGCCAATGTTAGAACCCGTTGCTATCAACAGCAGAGAGCTTACTAACACAGCGCTTATTTAAACCGTATTTACACATCAATACAGGTATTCATTTTTTTTTTCAAAGAGGCTATTTAATTATTTGTACCCTGGGCAAGCTCGCTCTTTAAGGAAACTCAATCAGCATCCACCGTGCCATGAGGTCTGAGATATCTTAGTTGGTGTCAAACACCAGGTCTGCTGTTACAGAGAGAACACAAGCAGGAACAGACACACTTTCACTTTATAATTACACGGGCTAATTATGGACAGCATCAAAGGGATTCCACCGAGTAACAAGACAGAGAGCAATTAAGCACTTTGTCATCCTCCTCTAACAACGCTGAACTGATGGTGCAGCAGACAGAAAGAGAGGGAATACGCAAAAACTGGAAAAGACCCTTCGCCAGCGGGATGCTCTCTTGAAGTGCCTGTGCAAAGGCTACAAGAAAAACCAGCCCCTACCCAGCACCTCGGCCATCGCTACCGTGGGTTACTCCCACACACATCCCATGTGAAGCTGTTCACTAGCATAGCCCAGAAAAACACCGTCTCTACGTCATGTCGGTGGCCAAAGGGGAGAACTGGCCGGTCTCCAGCAGTGCCGACAGGCTGGTACGGGAAGGTGGTTAGAGGAAAGCTGTACAGAGATTCCTCCTGCCAGGAAAAACACAGCGCCCCAACTAACAGCAAGCTTCCCAAAGAACCAGAAAGTGCAACAGCCTGGACACTGAGCACAGCAGGCTGTCACCTGGGGCAGAACTTTAGTTTTCAGAGAGGCACGCTTGGACACTTGAAACCCCAACTCCCCTGGGAGCCAGCTGGGAGGAGGCATCTGAGGGGCTGGTGGATCTGGTCACCTTCGTCGCAGGACTGCAGTTCTGCAGACGTGCCAGGCTCAGCTCCTCACATCCTTCCACCTGCGCCGACACACGTAAAATGAAGTCTCCTGCTGCATCTGATTGTTTCCTCTTAGTATTGCAGGAATCCAGTGCATGAAGCTGTCGGGATACTCCAAGGGGTACGGGTACAAGCTGGGGCAGACCTTTACAGGGGACTCTGACCACACCTGGAATGCTGTCTACCTCGACGGAAGGTGGCATCTACTCGACAGCACCTGGGGAAGTGGTGCTGTCGATGATTCTTTCACCAAGTTCACCTTCAGGTAAGGAACCACCCTCTACGTTAATACATAAATCTACCCCAAAGGCAGAAGAAAGTGTGATAAGAAACCAAGCGGTGACCCCCAGCAAGACCCAAAGCCCTGAGCAGGGCACCTGGGCTGCCTGTGCCAGGGATGGAGCAGGCGCCTGTAGAAAGGCAGTGACACTGAGCAGCGAGCCGTGTACCTGCCAACTGGGAACTGGGTTTGTTGTCACATCCTCAGCCTGTGCAATACTCCATGGCACTGGATCCGCAGCCTTCAGCTGCCCGAGCGTGGGTGCCTCCCCGCTCTCAAACAAGGAGCGGTGCCTCCCTCTTTCTCCAGGAGCCCATGGTCGCAGGGGATGGTGCAGTTATCCTGGTTTTATCCAAAAGCTCAGCGTGTGCCCTGGGAAGGGACGGCTAAAGCTGAAGTTCCTCCTCTGCCTGGAGAATCTCAAACCCACCGACCTCAGCTTCCCAGCAGCCCAAAACACTCTGAGTGCCTCCTGCGGAAACCACCGCCCCTGCGCAGGGGAAGAATGAGCTATGAACAGTTACTATTTTGCCTTTAATGTTTTCCTTTTTCTTCCAGGTACAATGAGTTTTATTTTCTGACTCACCCAGCTCTGTTCATTAACAATCACTTCCCAGACAACAGTAACTGGCAGCTTCTTAAGCCGACCCTGACGCTGAAGGATTTTGAGAAGAACATGCTACACAACAGTAATTTTTATATGATGGGCTTGCTGACCGCCCACCCACAGACCGCGGTCATCCAAACAGGTGAGCACCGCTGGCGGGGGGACCTGCAGAGCATCCTCCCTTGCGCAGCTCTGCGCCTGCCACATGCTGTCGTGCACGTAGGGAATCCCATTCCCAGCTTGGTTCTGGAAAAATCAAAGTTCTTGGGGCCAGGGAGGGTCTTTTTTCTTTCTTTTTTCTTTTTTCTTTTTTTTTTTTTTTTGTTCAAGCTGTGAGAAATTATTGTAGCTCCTGGGTCTAAAAGAAAGTCTCAGTTAGCAGCTGAGGATGAGTTACCCTATCAGCCAGCATCGGTGGTGCAAAATTAGAAGTATTACACAGTTATTTATTGGCAACTCTGGCTTGAAAATGACATTAAAACCTTTTATGATGTTCCAAAATTTTGACTTACTGAATAATGGGTAGACAGGCACTTCTTCCTGCAATGCTCAGCACTCCAAGGAAGCCCAGCAGCTCTCTGAACACAGAACTGTTGGGGTGACACCACCAAACTACAGCGCCCACATTTACAATCACCTTCCTTGGGTTTTAGAAGAGCTGCAGGAATCAAACGAGATATAGCTCACTTACGAATACTGGGAACTCAGAGTTAAAGGCAACAACATTTTAGGACCTAATGTTGTCTTCAAGCCGCTTGGGAGCAGGCTCACAGGGAGGTGGGTTATCTCCCAGCCGCACACCAGAGGGTTCCCACGCTTTTCTCTGCAGCCCCTTGGAACAGCAACTGGACTAGCCATCAGGTCGAACCACGCCAAATGAAGCCCTTCTCGAGCGCACGGGCGCTCAGTTACATTTCTCACAGGCTTTCATATCCTATAGGGCCACAGCTCCCTTTCAGCGTGTATCAAACCAGGACAAATGCACATCTCCAGAACAAAGGCCCCTCTTCCCTGCCTTCTTTCGGAGGGATGCTGGCCTCGGCAGACAGCTGATGAGCTCTGACCCATCAATTGCAGCTCTTTATTTTACTTAGAGAAGCAGCAATTTACTGGGACAGATTATTCTTCCCAGAACAGAGTGTACAAGCAAAAAATGTACCAAGGCTCCTATGTGGTTTCTTTTCTTTTGTATTTCCTAGTAAATGGGAAAGCCTCCGTATCGGTGGATTGCCGTTCTGCCACGTTATTTACGTTTAAGCTGAAGGGAACAGATGAACACGGTTTAATGACTTTGAAAAAACACGGAATGAAGCTGGATATCTACCCGCAGAAAACAGGGAATCACAAGCTGCAGATCTTTGCCAAGCCCTCCAAAGCCCCCGACGAGGTCTACAGCTGCGTGCTGGAGTATGTCGTAGAGTGCAAGTCTGTGGACAAGGCCATGCGCTTCCCCAAGGACCTGCACCAGCCCGTCGGACCGAGCTGGTTCACAGAGCGACAGGGCTTCCTGCGGCCGTCACACCCCAACCCCGTCATCCACACCAATGACGGGCGGTGTTCGCTCACCTTCACCCTGGGCAAGGACATCAGCGTCTTCGCTTCGCTGCACTGCGACGACAGCAGCCTGACCGAGGACGTGAGAAGGCGGCACATCATGCAGATCCACCGCGGGAACCAGATTGAGTTTAAGATCCACCTGCCCCACGCAGGGAACTTTGTTCTGAAAATCTACGCCAAGAAGAAGTCCGACCCTGGCAATTACGACTACATCTTCAACTACCTCATCACGTGCCTGAACACCGAGGTGAAGTGGCCAGCTTTCCCGCAGAGTTACACCAAGTGGCTGGAAGGCTACGAGATACTGGAGCCCCTCTCCGGGCTGCTGCCGGCGAACCGCAACGTTCAGTTTAAACTCAAAATGCACGGGATAGCGAAGGTGCTGGTTCAAGCTGAGAACACTTACCCTCTCACCCAGAGCAGGGGCTACTGGGAGGGAACCTGCAACACCTCGGGATGCCGAGAGGTGTTTGTGATGGTGCACGAGAACGCCAACCACAGCTTCTACTCGCACGTCCTGAAATACGAGGTGGAGACCCAGTAACACCCCCACCTTGTTCTTTCACTCGCCTGCATGCACCACCGTTTCCAACGTGCCCAAAACCAACACAGCTTTAGGAGATCGCTCATTCTCTCCATCCAATCTGTTCTTTCAACAAACACAGGACAACACTTGCAGGCTTTTGCAAGACCAAGGGCTCAAAGAAGTTCAAAGAAGCAGAAAATCCTGTTAAGAAGGGAGCAGCAGTGGAAGAAATTGCATAAAACCCTCAGCTATGTTTCAGTAATAGTGTCCAGACAAACATTTTGAAGAAAACAACTGACTGTCTGGCCATAGCTCACACTGTGTGAGCAGCGATTGCTGGTTTCCAAGTTATGGACCATAAGAAAAGTCTTACGATGGCTACTCCAAGCAGAATCCACCTAGCGATGGTGCAGGATGGAGAAAGTACACCCTGGTTTTGAGCAGCAATATTGGACACAAGGAACTTCAGGATATTTAAACCGAGTTTCTGTATATCTTCAGTCAAGTTGCACAAAACACATCCCAGGAGAGAGAAGCGTTAGGAAGAAGATACAGCGTGAAGTTTTCTTGTGCACTTCATTGTCTTACAAATTTAAGTGATACTGCGAAATGACTTTTTACACTGACTCTTAAATACAATAAACAAAATCATTTTTACCTTTTTATATTAGAGTATGTGAATTGTAAAGACTTTTTCTGCAATATTAAGACTGTAATCATATCTCAAGCATATAGGTGTTTCCATAACTAAAACAACGGTAAAACGGAGAATAAAGTTCTCAGAAATCACTCCTCCCTCCAATTTGTCTATGCAATACCGCAACTAAAGAACTTCGGGGGTTATATGGAATAGCAGGCTGAGTGACATTGTTATCACGTAAAAAACTCTTTGGTGCTGTACTCTCGGAAAATCCCAACATGCTCAAGGCAGAGGTGGTCTTCTAGTGACTCCCACCACAAATACACATCATAAGATCGAGCAACATTTTCATAAAGGATTCAGATGTCCGTAAGTGTTAGCGTGACCCGAGAGATATTATGTTTAAGCTTGAATTTAAAATAAACCTGTTATGTTGTTGCATTCTATTTCATTGACCCAATGATATGAATTCTTCTGCACAAAGCTGCTGCTCTTTTCCACGCAAAATCCACGGGTTACTCCTACACTCCCCTCCTCCTCGGCGACGGGGTGGCAGAAGTTACACGGGAGAGGAAAGGGCTGCCGCTCTGCAGCAGGGTCGCCTCCTCTGATCCCTCCTGCATCGCTCCCTCTGCTCCAGCAATGAGCTCCGAGTCCCGTTTTCAGTAAGTTGAGTGGGTGTGCAGGGTGCCCGGAGCTGTCCTCCAGCCGCTGAACTCGGTGAGGATGCAGCTGCTGCAGACACAGAGCTGCAAATAGAAACACAACGTGCAAGCCAGCAAAGCTTCCTCTAGGCTGCAGAGCTGTCGCGACCCAGCAACAGAACCACCCTGGGTGGGATGAGTGGGGTTCGCGGAGGCTCTATATATATATTCCCTTGGGACAAATTAAGGTGAGACGGCACCAAAGAATTGCGTCCTGGCTTATCATTTTAATGCACATAATTGTTTAGGGAAAAAGGGAAAATGTGGGGTATATAATTGTTTATGGAAAAGGGAAAATGTGGGGTATACAACAGGGTCAAGGGAAAAGGAAAATCACTTGGTAAAGACAATCCACGAATATTTTCCCATCCACTAATAACACAAAATCTCATAG